AAGCTCACCTTGAACATTTGGATCTGGTGTTAAGCAGGTTGAGAGAAGCAGGGTTAACTATTAAGGCTTCTAAGTGTAAGATAGGATACAATGTTACTAAGTATTTAGGACATTTAGTGGGAGGAGGTCATATTCGACCTGACCCTACTAAAGTGGCAGTTATTCACCAGTGGCCAGTGCCCAAAACGAAAAAACAGGTTAGGGCATTCCTTGGATTGGCTGGATACTATCGCAAATTTATCCCATCTTTTAGTAATTTGGCGGCCCCTCTTTCGGATCTTACCAAAAAGAAGAACCCGAACCAGGTAATTTGGACTCCAAATTGTCAAACTGCCATGGATCAATTGAAGAAATCAATTACATCGGAAAGTTTCAGGTTTCAAGCACTTTATTAGGGAAAGATACAAAGTCAAAGGAGAGGGGAAGTTACCTGGAGTTGCAGGCATTCCTGGTCTTGGAGCTAGCAGCTGGGGCGCATTCCATCTGCTGGCCTCAAAGCTTGGCCCAGGAACTGCGGAACTCCCTGCTGCAGTTCACACTAATGTAAAGGCGGGGCTACAAGATGCGCTCGCCGTCAGGAGGAAGAAAGAAGAACTCTTCTCTGTTTCCATTGACCACCTTCGTTACCATTGAATGGCCTTGCAGGTCCAAAGCCTGGCTGCTTCCTGCCTGGCTTCCCACAGTTATATTAACCCCATTTGCCTGCTTTCCCACAGGCCTCACCCCTCCGAGGATGCCTGCCATAGAGAGGTGTGGGCGGGAATGCTTCTGGAACATGGCCACGCAGCCCGGAAGACTCACAGCAACACAGAGATTCCGGCCATGAAAGCCTTCAGCTACAAAATGCAGAATATCAATAGTTGTTAGTGTGAAATCTCAGTGAATGCCAAACCCAGAGACTCCGTGGCCAGGACTGGGATTTCCTCTGGATGAGAAGAGGCCTCTCCCTTTCCAGGAGACCTTCTCTCGTGGCCTGGCCAGGCTCTGAGTGCTCAGGAGGCGAGGAAGGGGATGCGGGGAGAGACCCAGGGCACAGAGTTCCACCATTTGGAAGCCCCCGAAAGCCTCAGGAGATACCTGGCAAGGGAACCCCAAACCTTTCACAAATTTATTGAATTATATTTTGGGGTGTGCTGTATTCCTAGTGTCTCAAATGTATGGTGAAGGCCCCTGGTCCCCTTCCCTTCTATGTACATCCAACCCTGGGAACGGAGAGTCCTCTACCCTCAGTAAACCTCCCTCTAGCGATCTCCCAGCCTAGACATGGAATCCCTCTTGTGTGAGAGTGACAGATAGACAATCCCTTTATCAGTTGGGCTGTTTTGCACTCTTTACCTGGCCAGGTGTGTCCAGAGGTCTAGGATTCCCACAGATGCAAAGGCTAAGCAAAGGTGAATAAATGAGCCTTTTGAGTGGATACCCGGCCCTCTGGCTCTGTGGCATGATCACCTTTTGTGTTCTGTGCCTGGCACTGTTGCCTTCTTCGGAATGAGACATTAAGTCAATCAGGGAATCACCTGCACACCCAC